CGCCATGAAATGGTGCCTGGGGCACAGCACTCCATCTCTGTTCAGCACTGGGGATTGAACCTGCGCCTTCACACTGAGCTACGTCTCCAGCATCTTTTTGTTTTTTAATTTTTATTTTTGAGACAGGGTCTCACTAAATCCCTAAGTTGCCCGGCCTGGGCTTGAATTTGTGATCCTTCTGCCTCAGCCTCCCAGAGCACTGGCATTGTGGGCCTGTGCCTGCATGCCTTGCTTGCCTCCCACATACTACACAGCCGCTACTCCATAGCACGGTGTCTGTGCAGCTCTTGACATGTCCCACAGTGCTGTCACAGTGCAGTTTCTGTGTCCTTGTGGTAGCCCTGTAGCGGCTGCACCAACCCTGGGGTGCTGCTGTTTCAGTGAGGGCCTGGACTGGTTGCATTTAGGGACAGTGGTGATGTCAGTGTGTGAAGGAGTCCCCTCACCTGGTTGCTGCTCTTGCTCACTTGCCTGAGCCTCTTCCCCTGAGCTCTTTCTTTTTCAAAGTCTGCACAAGGCACAATCCAGCACAGCAAGGGTTAGCAGAACCCACTTAACTCTGAGAAGCTTGGGAGTGATAGACACAAAGAATCAGATGGAGGCTGTGAATCAGCTTCATCAGAAAACACCCCTGACCTCAGGGCCTTCAGGGCCTTGGAGTCTAATCAGGACCCTCTGGGCCCCACGAATCCTTGGTTAAAAGCTGCAGCCCATGCTAAATTGGATTTTTATGGTTGTGTCAAGGGATGCCAGAAATCGATGTGAGATTACCCAGGTGGCCGAGCGCCTGCAGGTCCTGGTTCTGAGCCCCTTCCCTTCGTGTGTGCTCTTGCTGTGCCTGTCAAGGCAGGTGCACCTGCCGCCTCTTTGAACACGCATACTGACAGCTCGGATGTCGCTGTCTCTATCACTGATCTCCCTGGGGACAGGATCTCGCGTTGCCTTCTGAAGCCCCAGAGCCTGGCCTGCACATCTTTTTCACTACCCTCACAGGCTGCTCGATATTTGCTTATACATTTGATTTTTTTCAAGAAGGCTCTGGGCTCCTTAAAAGCAGGGCCCATGTCTTGAATTCCTTGACCTGTGCTCGTAGCCTCCCTTTGTGCAGCTCTGGGAATGCAGCGACGCAGTAGGTGTTGTACAGTGGCAAGGAACAATAAAGTGTGGGCTTTTCAAAACTTGAAAGGGCGCAGGAAATTCCCATGAGCACCTTTTCTGTGCCTACACATGGGGGTGTCTAGATTGATGGTTTGTGACTATTTTTGAAAAGTTTTTCCCCAAATACTACTGACTTCTCTCAAATTAAACTGCAGTCCAAGCAGCACCAGGAACCCCATTCCTTGACCATGGGTGTGGCTTGAACTTAGAAGATGTCAACTCTGGCAGACCCCACAAGGGACAAATCAGCAGAAGAGGAATGGCACAGCCATCTCAGGGTGGGCAAACGGTGGAAGTTGTGCCATATGAATCACCACTACAAATGAACTGGGCTGGCCGTGGGCCATGCTGAGGCTGCCTCAGACACACACTGGGCGCTGGATCAGCCTCCACCGTGGGATGGGCTGAGGGAGGAGCACAGGCACCTGTGAGGAGGAAAAGGAACGCTTTCCTCGAGTTTAGAGTCCACACACTCCGCCAGAACGCTTCTATTCTAACTACCTCTCTGGGGCCTCTGAGCACGTCCGCTTCTCTCAGAGGGGAAGGGAACACTCTCCCTTCCATCCTTCTCCTCTTCTCCCTCACTGCTATCAAGCAACCACAGCAGTGCGTCGTCCTTCTTTTCTATTTTTGGTACTGGGGATCGAACTCGGGACCTTGCGCCTGCGAGGCAGGTGGTGGAACCACTGAGCTAAATCCCCAGCCCTAGTGAGTACTTTCTATGGCCATCTTTTCTTCCCAGGTCCAATAAACATTCCCTGAAATCGTTTGTTTGCCCTCAGAGGGAGGAGCCCCAGTTTAGAGCTCTGTCCTTTTCCTCATGGACACTCACATCTTCCATCAGCATCACCAGTTAACTCTCCCAACTCCAGCGCCATTGTCTCAGGATATTTTCCTACAGGTTGCCAACAGCAAACCACTTTCCATGGTGGTTCCTAATAATTCTTGCTCCCTGGCCCTGTGTTTTTCCCATTTTGCCTTTACTTGACTATCAAAAGGTGAAGAGGAAGTGTAGGGAGGAGCAGAGGAAAGAAGGGAATGGAATTAATATGAGAAAAGGAAAAGACGGAAACAAAGTTTTAAATTAGGGAGGGGTGGAGGGGTTGAAGGGAGGGCAGGGGAAGGGGGAAAAATAAGAACCGAGATACATCATGTAAAGGTACAAGTTCCCAGTGATGAACATCATCATAATGTGTACCTAAAATGTACCAATAAACTTAATGAATAAAACCCCATCATATCAATTTTTAAAAATATTTCCCAAGCATTGATGTGAGATATGGTATTTTGCCATGAATTCATTTTATCTGTGATGACTTTCAACATTTGGATTTTATTTTGTGGCTTACCTAGTCACCTCTTTTAACTATTTTTTTATTGGTGCCTTTTGTTTTCTTCCTGAAGGTGTCTCTTTGTGTTGAGTATTATTCAGATATAATGCAAATATTTGACTCTATGATCACTAATATATGAGAAATTAGTTTTGGCTCAAGATGTGAAGTAACAATCCAACTTTGCTTTGCCCCAAAGGAGCACATATGTATAGAATTATCCACTTTTGTAAAAGATGTATTTTTAAATAATATTTATTATTGATAGTGTGCTTGGTTGAGAAGCTATAGTTGTATACATTCGTGGGGTACAGTGTGCTGTTTTGATGTAAGTTCACAATGTGGAATGATTAACTCAAGCTATGTAACATGCCTGCCACTTTGTAGCATTGACTTAAGTCTCATTCTTATCAAACGCTGGATCAGGGGTCATCTCTAAAACTCGATTCTATCCTGGCACCCTCTGTGACTATTTCTTGGTGATAAGATGGTATTTTAACTTATATTCCTGTTCTGTTGAGAACAGCCACTACCTGCTATTCCTGTCTTCCACCTTCTCTCTCATAACTTTTTGGGTGATCTTATACATTTATTCTTCTTGGTAAATTTTACAGTGATATTGCCAAACTTCAGAAACTTCATGTTAGAATTCTGATTGGAATTCCATTAAATTTACAGTTTCATTTAGAGAGGTTAGATATTTTTTACTACATCATGCTTTCTCATTTAAGAACATGACGCCTCTGTCCATTCCTCCATCGTCTTTTACATCTCTCAGTAAAGTTTTATACTATTTCTGATGAAGCCTTGTGCATTACTGAGAGTACCCTGAGGTAACCAGGTTTTGTGGTTATTGTGCATGGAAACATTATTTTATTTTTCTATCTGGTCATTGTGCATAAATAAACTTATTGATCTATTATGTATTAACTGGCCATCTAATGAATTCTCTTTAGTATCTCAGTGGCTTCTGATTATCTTCTCTTTTCCAGATAGACTTTTCTTGATATGAATATAATCATCTTTATTTTCGTATTTTCTAACAGATCACTTTAGAATGCTTAATTACTTTTACTAGAACAATGATCAATACAAAGATTAAAAGGATTGTCACATATGTATCGACATTAACCAACTACTTCAGGAGAAAAAGCATGAAGAATATAGCTATTCTTTACCATGACAGAAAATTTCCTTCTGGTCTGATTTAACTAAGAAATAGTAAAGAAATGAATCCTGAGATTCTCGAGGTGCCTCTCTGTGCCTGCCTCTGAGTAGGAGCTGGCGATGGGGTTTTCTCATTTCAGCTCCAGTGCAAAGCACCAGTCTAAGGATATCAACACTCTGTACATGTCCCTTTAACCTTTAACTTTCCTTTATCCGTTTCTGTTGGCTTGTCTTGTATAGACATCTAGTTGATATGTATGTACCAATGTGAAATATTTTGTCATTTAATAGGAGTTTTAACCCTTTTATTTTTTGTCATAAATGATACAACATGCTCAGTCTTCTTCGCATCCCAGTTCTGTATCCTGAACTTCTGCTTCCTTGATTTTTTTCCATTTCTCTATGAGTTATGTTGTTTTTGATCATTTTTTCTAGTAATCTTGAAGGCATCTGTCCTGTTTATTATTGCCAGTACATTTACCTTTAAGCGTCTAAACAAGTATTTCTTCTACTGTTTTATTCTTCTATCATTCTGAGAAACACCTAAACTTTCATTTCTGTAGTTATCAACATTGAGAAGAAAAAACATCCACTGTATTCCCTTTATAAAGGAGCAGGAATACACCGGATGAAATGGTTTGGGCTAAAAGCACACAACACATAGAAGCTATGTTCCAATGTGGCTTAAATGACTAATGATTTATTTTTCTAACACTATGAGAAACCTGGAGACAGACAGCTCTCAGATGGCTCAGTGGGCCTTAAATATAAATGCCAATATGTCTGCACATCTCTGCCTCATGGTAATAAAATAGCTGCCCCAGCTCCAGGCATCCTATCGACATACAAGGCAGTAAAAATAAGGGCTTCCAGTTGTTAGTGTCTCAGGGATTCCAACACCTAGCAGACTTCACTGAACATTTCAGTGGCCAGAACTCTGGTGCATGACCTTCCCCCTAAACAGAAGATATTCAGAGATGGAACATCTCTGCTGCCCAGGCAGTGTAGGTAGAAAGGAAGGAGAGATGCCAGCCCCTGAGGAATTTGCACACTTTTAGGGATGTTCTTGCAGAATGACTATTTTCTAGTATGAATTATAATACTGTACTGCATGTAAGCTCTCAAAATGCATGGTTGAAAATTTTCCTTGTGCATGGTACGTGGTGAAGAAACATCAGTCAAACCATCTTTTGCAGTTTATTCATAAATTGCCTACCTTTGAGTGGCTGTTTAAATTGCCAAATTTTATATCCATTATTCTATGATCTCATTTTGTATCTACATCTCATTCTAATATGATTGCCTTTTCTTATTCCAAATAATAACAAAGTATATTTTCTTTCAAATAATTTGTATCGAGTTATCTATGAAAAAAGCTCCTTCAATAAAAAGCACATATAACAAATATGTCTCAAGCATCAGGAATAAACAGATACCAATCTTGGCTGGTGTTGCTTCCGGTGCTGGATTGCTTCTGTATTGGAAGACCTGGCGCCTTCTGGTTAACTCATTCACGGCTGAAGAGCAGGCTCGATGCAACAGCGAGATTTCAGCAAGCTGTGGACTGAAAATGTCCCTTTAGAGTCAGACCACATGTGTAATAAACAAGCTTTGTCTAAGGTGGGATGTTTCCCTGTGAAGTCTACTATGTTTGAATTTCTTTATGTTGCAAAGCTTTTGCAATTACGAACATGGTTAGAACTTAAGTAGACACTAATCCACTGAGCTGGTTTAAAGGAACATAAGAAATTAATGCATTTCTGTGATGCTTTCCAAAAACCAGGAAGTTGGACCATCTGGCTTCAAATGCTGTTCCTCTCCATGGATGACATGGCCTGAGCCCCTTAGTCATTCACTTTGAGCTTCAGTTCATGTGATTCATAAATTCCTATAAATTCATTTATAAAACCAAGTTGGTACATCATAGGATTATTGTGAGGATTAGGGATTCTATGAAGACTCAGAATACTAAATGAAAACCATCTTCTCAACCTTTTTGAACATCTTTTTTCTTGGTAAATCTTCAACTCAACTTTGGATGAACAATAGAAATGGAAAATTTAAACCTGGAGAAATTCCCTCGTGCTCAGCTCTAAATGCGGTGACCTGCTGGGCCGTGCTTCTTTCTATAGGAATCCTGGGGCCAGGATTTAGCTCAGTGGTTCTGCTGCCTCATTGGCAAGCACAAGGACCCGAGTTCGATCCCTGGTACCATAAAAAAAAAGGAATCCTGTGTCTACCAGAACATTTGTGGCCAGTAGGTGGATGGCATTGGTGCTTATTATGCTGAAGTCTCCTAGCTGGAAGAGCTGTCCCTCGAACAGCCACCTGGGCAGCTCCAGGCATGCAGTGGGCATGGGTGGGGCAGTTCTGAGGGCAGCTGTGGCTCCTGATGAAGGCGGTCTTCCTGCATTGGCAGTAGCAACGGGTTCTGCCCATCCTGAGTGGGAAGCTTAAATCTCAGATGTGCCACTCGCCTGCCTCTTGGGGTCTTCATAAAATTGTCTCAAGAAAAGACAAGAAACTCAAGGTGCTCACAACATGTCTGCCAATCGCAGGGGCTGCGAGTCCTGATGCTCACCTTCGACCCCAGCCTCCAAGTCCCAAGCTCTCACCAAACACGGACTCTGCGGAACCTCGGTCGTGGACCCACAGCCTCTGTGAGAAACACATTTCTGTTGCTCTGGGCTCACCCAGACAATGATGCTGTGCTCTGCAGGCTGAAGGCACCAAGGCCTTCCTGCTGCTCCGCCCTCCTGAACCTGCCTCCTACACTCCTCTCACTCTGCTCCACATGGGGAGCCACTTCCACCACCCAGAGCTGCCCAGCGCTCCCCACCTCAGCACTTTTCCATTTTCTGTTCCCTCTGCTGAGTCCACAGGTCCCCTCCCTCTCGGCTCTGTTCAAATGCCAGCTCATTTGTGACAGCATAATCGGCACACTTGGCACAGTTCCACCCCACCCTCAGCACTCCCACTTTCTCTGCCCAGTGTTGCTTTGTCCCCAGCTCTTCCAGTCATCTGACACGGGTGCCATTTTGTCTGTACTCTGCATGGTGAGGCCTTTGTCTGTTCTGTTCCTGCTGTATCCCAAGCACTTGGAACAAAGTTGGGGACATAATAGGTGCTTGTTGTATTAGCCAGCTTTTTGTTGCTGTGACAAAATACCTGAGAATAATAACTCAGAGGAGGAAAGGCTTATTGTACCCCTGTTTCAGAGGTTTTAGTCCATGGTCAGCTGACGCCATTGCTTTGTGCCTGAGGTAAGACAGAACATCATGGCCAAAAAGCATGATGGAACTAAGTTGTTCACTCATGACAGGCAGGGAGCAGAAGGAGGGGGAAGAAGCAGAGAGAGAGAGAGAGAGAGAGAGAGAGAAGGAGGGAGGGAGAGGGAGAGAGAGATGAGATAGACCCTTCAGAGTCATGCCTCCAGCGACTTAGTTCTTCCAACTGTACCCCATCTTCTGAGCACATTCAGAGGCCTCATGATCCAACTGTCTCTCTAGACTGCTTCTCTGAATGTTACTGCAATGGGGACCAAGGTGTTGTAGTTTGGATCTAGAATGTTCCCCCAAAGCTTCATGTGTTCAGAGGTGGGGATGCTGAGAGGTGACTGGATCGCGGTTGCACTATAGCTGACTTGCTGTTAGGAGGTGGGGTCTGCCTGAGCTGGATCACTGAGGGCCTGGCCCGGGAGGGTGCGTCTTTCTCCCTGGCTCTTCTCTTCTTTCTCAGCTTCCTGGCTCCCATGTTGTGAAGAGCATTTCCTCTGCTATGCCCTCTGCCATCCTGTTTTTCCTTTGGAGTGAGACTGACTACAGACTGAATCCTCCAAAACCATAAGCCAAATTAGACCTCTCCTCCTTTAAGTTGTGGCTGTTGGGTGTTTCTTCCCAAAGTCAAGTAAGTAATTAAGACACAAACCCTCCACACATGGTCTTTGGAGACACTTCATATTTGAACCAGAACTTGCATTAGATATTTGCTGAGTAATTCTTTTAAAAAAACGAATGAGAATATGGTGGGGACTGGCCAGTCAGGATGGTGAAGACAAACAGGGTAACTCACCACTGATTTGCCTGGACTGAGGGGTCTCTGAGATGCAGAATTCAAATGCTAAACCTTGAAAATCCCAAGCATGACAGGAAGCACTGGCTCTTCTAATGACGATTCCACAGAGGAAAAAGGAGCTATGGGAATGAGGCCAAGACGTCTAGAGAAAAGTCAGAGAGGGCAGCTGTCCCAGTCCTGTGTTGAAGTCTGCGTGGATTCCGAGCTCCAGTTCATGGTCATCTGCCACAGACAGCTCTGGCAGAGCAGGCAGCGCAGCCTGACGGCGGGAGAAGTGGCAGGTTGTCATCTTGGCAGAGAAAGAGCGTGGCTTCCCATTTGTCTAAGCTTTTTGGAGCCCAAGCTGCCTGTGACATTCGGCAGCACTGCCGCTGTGTTGTGCTGGTGGCTCCCTTCCCTCTCCTCCAGAGCGCGCTGTGGTGATGGCTGTGAACCTCTCGCTGTGCTGCAGACAAGGCACACGGCAGGCTCCCAATGAGAAGCACACAGCAGAGGCACTGTGGCAGCCGGGCCTGAAGTGTGTGCTTCCTCACAGGACACCCAGAAGGATGGGGGCCTCAGCAGCACCCCAGCTCAGTAGCCCTGTGGGCATCCAGGAAAGGCGACACCCTGTGCTGGCACCTCTAATCCAGAGGAGAAGGGACCTGAGTGTGTCCTCTTGTTCTGATGGAAAGTGACCTGGGAATGAGGTGAGGTGCCTGGAGTGGACACTGAGCACATGGAGAGCGGCCGTGCAGAGCAGACTTCTGCAGGCTCCTGGGCAGAGGACGCCTGGCACCTCTGAGTCATTTGGCTTGCAAGGATTTGCTTTGGCGCCGCTTCTGTCAGAGCACAGTGGTCTCACTGTGCCCTCGGCAGACGTCCACCCTGAACTGTGAAGTTTGGCTGCACAACCCCAAAGCAGCTTTTCAGACTGCAGGAAAATAAAGCAGCATCCTCTGTGCCACCCGGACCGCCCTAAGCCACGCCCTCCCTGGCTGATGCTTGCTGCTCTGCTGTCAGCAGCTGGCTTGGGAGTGACAGGCAGTCACACTCTGATGACTTCCACCCAGGTCCCCCAAAACATTTTCAGAGTGAAAGGGAGTCTCCAATTATGTGCTCCCTCTCTTTATTTCCCTTCCAAACCAAGACAATGCTCAGTAATTAATGGCATATTTTAAATATGCCAGGGAGATTTGCATTTTCTCTAAGGAAGAATGAAATGACAGCATATGCATAAATATGAATCCGAACATGGGGCTCCTTCCATGCCAGTAATCGGTGGGCTTGCATGAAAGAAGTGGAGATTATTTTGTCCTGCTGTGAAAAATCCTTTTTGTTCAAAGGAGAAGAAAGTTTTTGACAGAGTGTGTAGCTGCAGAAGAATTTCAGCAAGTCCTTTTCTAAAAAATTTATTTCTCGTCTTTTATTAATGAGATTCTGTTCAGGAAGACCATCCTTATGGATGAGCTAAAGCCCTGCCTTGAGCTGGGTTTCAAGCATAGGCTGGGATTTGGCGACGGGTGATTCAGCGCTTAGCATGGAGGTGTTGTTCTGGCTGCAGAGAAGGCTGGGGTTGGGAAGGAAGCAGCTGGTGGGTGCTGTTCGAAGGGCACAGGAAATGGGGTGGAGGTACACACCATGCAGACCCCCTGGGTCCTGGAGAGTGACCCAGCAATGCAGTCTTTGGGATCAGACAAACGTGGCTTTGAGTTTGGTCCCCAGCTCTGCCTACAGTGACCTCGGACAAGCCACAGTTCTCTCTTCTGTAAAACAAGAAAATCATCACAGGGTCGCAAAAGGGATCAAACAAGATCATGCGGAGAGCTCAGCCTACCACCGCCTGCATGTGGTGTCATGATTTCTGTCCTTCAGTCCCTTCTAAGTCACCATAGCCATTGACCAGGGTCCTCTGAAACCCACAGATCCGAAGTCCTCTTCCAAAGGCCATGGCTTGTGTGTACTGCCTATCTGTCCTGGTAGGTATATTTCCTCATGTTTGATTAAAATTTAACCCACAGAACATTCATAATAGAATCATTATTGGTAATAACCCCAGAGTGTAATGACCTACATGTCTTCTCTCTGATGATGGCTAAACAAAATGCAGTGTATCCATAAAGGGAATATTTTTTGATAATAAAAATGGGTGAAGTACTGATTTGTGCTACAACATGGATGGATCTCAAAACACGGTACTAAGTGAAAGAAGCCAGACATGAAAAATTACATATTGTATGATTCCAGTCATATGAAATGCCCAAAAAAGGCAAATTCATACAGACAAAAAGTAGAAGGAGTGATTCTAGGGCACTGTGAAAGGTGAGGATAGACAATGACTGGTAATAACTATGAAGTTTTTGGGGATGATGAAAATGTCCTAAAATTAAATTATGATTGATGGGTGCACAACTTTATAAAACTGAACTATATATTTTGAATAGGTAAGCTTTATGTCATATAAATTATATTTTCATAAATAGCTAATTAACTGATAACGAATTCTTATTCTTTTAAGTCTGTTTATGTATATTGCATACCATGTATACAATGCATTTGCATAGAAGATAATGTTACAACACATGCATTTATGTACATTGTATACAGTGCATACATTTAAGCACACTGACTTTTATCTTTATCTGTGTAGACTGTGGAGTCCTTGTACGCTTAGAGCCTTTGTATGCTTAGAAATTCCCCATTGATTTGTGCAGAAATGGTGGTCAGTTTTAATTTCCAGAAGTACAGCAGACAACTATCAATTGGAGCCATGTACCATGGTATACTCATTCGGGAGTGATAAAGAAGTAGTTCTCAGACAGTTACCTGCGGACTGGAGCCACTGAGTGATCAGGTATTTAAAATTAAAGCCAAGAAGTTAGTAGCATCATATCCATGTTCATTTCTTAGGACTTTTGTTTATTTTTGCAGTGCTGGGAACTGAACGCACCTTCACACATGCTGGACGAGTATTCCACTACTGAGCCATCCCCTGCCCCAGTGTTGACAAAGCTATGATTATGATAGCTGCTGAGTGAAGGACATCTCTGCACTGGTTTTTTGCAACTTGTCTGTAAAGATGACATTTTTGAGAATATAAAAAGTTTACCTATACAATCTCCTCCCTCAAAAAATAGAACAGAACAAAACAAAAGCCCGAAGCTAAAAGCAATAACAGAATAAGGACAAAGGTACTGACCTTGGCAGAAACCAAAATGAGCGACTATCTTCTATTTCAAAAGTACACTCTCCCAACATTTTGGGCGTTAAATGCCCCTTTTGTGATGGAGCAGGGGACAGAGGTTGCATTCATTGTCTCCCACTCAACAGCATGAAGGGTGACCATTCTATGCCAGGTCCCCGGAGGTATAGTGGATGCCATCCAATCTGTCTCATCCCAGCTGGCCTCTGCCCTGCATGCATGGCTACCGAGGCTTGATTTCTACTGAGCCTGAGCCCAGGTGCTCCCAGCCCTTCCTCTTTCTGCTTCACTTTCCAGCTCTCTGCTGTCCACTGGGGTTGCCTTTCGGTAGAGTACCTGTCTTCAGATCCCTCCTCTTGGTCTACCCAAATAAAGACACGCGGATAAAGACATTTGTGGCTAGTGAGGTCCAAAATCTGGGGAATAGAGACTAAACAGAAGAACAAAATAAAGAATGATGTATGTAATTCCCAGGACCAGCATGGCATGGTGCTAGAGCTGGGGTTATGTATGAGCTCTCCTAGGACTGTCACGGGGCATCAGAAACCCAGTGACTTCAGAGAATGAAAACTGACTGTTACCATTCCGGAGGCCGGAAGTTTGGTCAAGGGTAGGCAGGACCTGAGGGAGACTCCTTACCCCTGCCTGCTTCTGGCTTTCCTTGGCTGCAGCCCTTGCCTCTGGGGCCACATGGTGTTCTTTCTCCCTGTGTCTCTCCGGGGTCCTCCTCTTCTTATAAGGATCGAGGGCTCACCCTTCTCAAGTAGGACTTTCTTCTAGCTTAAGTAATTATGTTTGCAATGGTCTCCTTTCTAAGTAAGGTCACGCTCTGAGGTTCTGGGAAGGCTATGAATCTTTAAGGGAAATGTTCAATCCCGCTCAGATACAAAGAGAGGATGGAGTGTCAAGAGCCTGTTTTAGGGAGCTCATAGACAAGGGGGTGCACACAGGTGAGTATGCAGATCTTACCTAAACAAAAGTACTAGGCAGTGAATAGTTACGCAGAAGTAACAGGTTTTAAATGAAGAAGGGGTCCCTGAACTCATACAAAAGGGGAACTTGGCCTAGCCAGGAGGAAGAGGAAAGTCCAAGAACCCCAGTGGAGAGGGAGAACAATGTCCAGCAGACATGAGTAGGTACTCACCTACTTTTTAAAAAAATCATAGTCCATTTATTCATTAATATGTTGTCAAATTCAGTTTTTTATACACTATAATGCTTATTTCATTTTGTTCTATTAGATACACATTTCAAAAAATAACTTTATTCTCACACACACATACAAAAATTAAAACCATTCAAAGAAGAACAATGCAAGGGAAAAAAAACCCTACAATAATATTCAGATAGTAGAACTCAACCAAAATAAAACTAGAAAGCACTTAAACATTTTTCCATATAACTTAAAGAAAAAACTCAAGCACCAACAAGACACCAGAGGATGTGATTTGTTTCAGAAAGATTCCCCAAAACCATCACTGAACAAATAGTGGTCTGGAAAAAAAACTCCAGTTAGCTAGCAGACTCTACATAAGCCAAACTTCTCCCTAATTTAAATTTTGATACAGTCATATGACATGTGATGGAAACACAATCTGAGAAATATGTTATTAGGCAATTTCATCCCTGTGTATCCTTATTTACACTTTCAGTGTCTCACACTAGAGAAACTATTCAGTATTTACACATATGTGTCCTATTTATTTCACTTAAGAGTATCGCCTCAATATGCATCCATTTAGCTATAAATGTCTTTAGTTTCTGGTTCTTTATGGCTGAGTAGTATTCCATTTTATTAAAAAAACACATCTTCTTTATTCAGTCTCCGGTTGATGGGCATTTGTGTTGTTTCCAAGCTTTAGCTATTACAAACTGTGCTGCTATGAACTTGGGTGCACATATATTGCTGTGGCATGATTCTTTTAATTTTGGGGGGAAGATAGCCAGTAGGGGAATAGCTGGGTCAAATGGGACCTCTAGTCCTAGTTCTCTGAGGTATCTCCACACTGATTTCCACAGTGGTTGCACCAGTCTGCACTCCCACCAGCAGTGGAGCAGGGTTCCTCTTTCCCCACAGCCCCACCAGCATTTGTTATTGGTTGATTTCTTGATAGCAGCCATTCTTTCTGGGGTGAGGTGGAATCTCAGTGTTGTTTTCATCTGCATCTCTTGAATGACCAGTGATGTTGAACATTTTTTCATGTGTTTATTTGCTGCTTTTACTTCTTGGTCTGGGAAATGTCTGTTCATTTCAGATGCCCATTTTTGAATTGGGTCTTTGAATTTGGGGGGTCTGATTTTTTTCAATTCTTAATATATTCTAGATAGTATTCCTTTGTCTAAGGTACAGTTGCTGAAAATTTTTTCCCACATTGTAGGTTGTCTCTTAGCTCTGTTGGTGGTTTCTCTTGCAGTGCAGAAGCTTTTTAATAAGATGAGATCCCAGTTGTTGATTCTTTGTGCTAGTTCCTGTGCTGCTGAGGTTTTGTTCATAAAGTCTTTTCCTATGCCAATGTCTTCAAGAGTTCTACCTAACTCATCTTCCAGCAAATTTAATGTTTCTGTCTTAATATTTAAATCTTTAATCCACTTCGATCTTAATTTAGTGCACAGTGAAGATACACATATTTTTAAAATATGCAACTTATTTTTATGAAGAAATTAAATATTTTCTGAAAAAAAATCATTTTGTTACTTTTCTCTACCAACAAACCTGAAACAAATTTCATCCAAGTCAACTGGTGTGTCCTCATGAGCTATGCAGGGTATGTTAAGGCTCCACAGTGGCACCCATGGGAGAAGGAGGGAGATGAGAGCAGAAGGGGTGGAGGGTGCAGTCAGGTGGGTGGAGGATGGAGAAACAGTCAGTAGTGAGCTGCATTCGGGGGACTTCAGGCAGCACCCACAAGACACCCCACCACACTCACTGTGCACTGCGCCCACCCAATGGCCATGGGCCTTGTTACGGGAACACAGATCTGCAACATCCATGGGAGCCTGGGCTGCTCACCTAGGCAGGCTCCACAGGAGCGCTTGCTGCTCCCAGGCCCCTTCAGAAAGAAAACTACCAGGGTAGAAGTGAAGAAGGGGCATGGAGAAGAGAAGTGAGGAGGCATCACAGAGGAGAGAACTGGAGAGAGTGAGGTGGGGTGGGATGGCCAGGAGAGATAGGAAGTGACATAGGAGAGGAGAAGGAGGAGAGAGAAGGGAGAACTGAAGAATGGAAGATGAAGAATGAGGGGAGATGGAAAGAAAAGCGCAAAGAACAGAGAGAGAGAGAAGATAGGAGGAGAGAGAAAGAGAAATGGAGACAGAATGAGAGAGAAAGATGAAGAAAGAGAGTTATGGAGGAAGAGAAATAGAAGGAGATGGATAGAAAGGTAAACTGAGAAAGAGACAGACAGACAAAGACAACGATGGTAAGAAGACAAATGGTAAGAAGAAATTCTAAGAGACAGAGAGAGGGAGGGAGAGAGAGAGGGAGAGAGAGAGGGAGAGAGGGAATTGGTAAATAGCTGGTAAATTGGTAAATTGCCTTCCCATCTGACGCCCAAGGATCCCATTCCGCCCCTTCCCACCCACCCTCTCACTTCTCTTTCCTCTCTGAAACACACCCTGAGGTCAGCTGAGCACTTGTACTGCTTTGTTGACTCACAAGTCCACACGTGCTCCTGAAAACCTCATCAGTGGTCTCACCCAGAAAACCACATTCAACATTAGGCTTCCAACAGGAAGTGTCATAATAGCATCTGAGGCTCCCTTTGCTGACAGGGTGGGCTGACAATTCATTGTGTCCCAGACATTGAGATTGATTGCCTAGGAGAGACTAGGAAACCTCAGAGGAAGTCCTGTTCTAGGGGTGAACTTTATAACTCCCTAACGGCACCACAGCACACAGTGCATGGGGTGTAGGATTTGGGGCTCTCGGGAAGCATTAGACAGGAAATTACTTTGCATGACGCAGCTCAGACATCGAAAGCACAATGTTTGGGACTACATGATTCAGTGAGAAAATATAAATGGAAAATTACTGGAGCTGAAATTTTATTGCAAAGTTATTTATCTTTGTTATTACTTTCTGAATCCTTTTGTTCATAGCAATAGATAGAGGTACCCTTACTTACTCTTTAAGTAGAGATTAGAAGGGAAAAATATTCCTCCCTGCACTGCAAAATACCAGATTAAGTCTCAGCCTAGGCCTGTGATTTGTCTCATTACAATGAAATGTCTAGAAATTGAAATAATAACAATAAAAAAGCTTTGCAGTCCTTTGCAGATGGTCCACATGGCTTCTTATTGATGCCACTTAATATATCCTGTTAGAAAAATAATGGTGCAAATAGAGCTGCCATAGAGCCTCCACTGGCAACACAGGCATTCTGGACCCCTTCTAGAAAAAGACAGGGGCTGGCGACTTTGTGGAGTCTGACCAATAACAGTACTAATAATGTGAATCACCATGCTACCACCATAGTCACCCCAAGCTCCACAGTCAGCTCGAGCTGCCTTCATATCAGTCTAAGTCACTGTCTCAGGCCATCCAAGCCGTAGGGTCAACTGCCCTGGTAGACACATTGGAGGGCAGGAGAGCTCTCCCTGCTGTTGCTGAGCTACCTTCTCTGCAGAGCTGCCGCTCATGTGGCTGAAACTACCTGATCAGCCAGAGTCACCTCTGCCATTCATCCCGCTCTGAAAGGACTGAGCTGCTTAGCTGGCCCAGCTGCTCTGGGCCTGGGCAGGCGTTCCATCCTTCCTACACCCCGCAGCCGGGATGTCTTCTTCTAGTCACCACAGCCCCTGCTGGACCTAAGGGCACACTGAAACTTTGGAGTAAACATCCACTGTGGTCTACATTTCCAATGCCTCCAATTTAGTCTCAGAGCGACCACAGTAGGGACCCCAGCCACAGTGCTGTGTGTGCCACACCTGCCTAGGCCACTGGAATATCTTAGCCTTCCTGTGGCTCTTGGAGATGCAAGGGCTCAGTCTCCAGCCCTGACCCTCCCCAAGTGCTCCCAAACCCACTGGATACTGATGAAGAACCCATAGCAAGTGTGCACCTCGGTGTCCAACTGAAATCAAAGCCAATATAGCTTACCAAGCCAAAACCCCAAGACATATCCTTGAGAGAGAATGATTGCTCTGAAAGGTACCTCATAAAAGTGGTAGAAATCACAATTCAACAGATGTAGAAACTCAGCATGGGTTCCCAAGGAATATGAAAATACAAGATAACATGATGCTTCCAAAAGAACACAGTAACTGTCTAGCAAAAGACCTAGAAGAAAAGGGTATATTGACAAAATGCCTGATAATGGTTATCAAGGAACAATTTAATGAAATCAGGGAAATAATTCATGACATGAATGAAAAA